CCTGGGATTTGTCAAATTTGGCAGTTCGAGGTGCACACTTTGAGCCAACGGCCTGGATTCCTCGAGTCGAATCAAGGGCTAAAAATTTTTCCCCATTGAAGAAGAGATTACCCTCTTTCCATGCCTATAAATAGGAGCAAATTTCATGCTCAGAGGGAGGAGAAAATCGAACCCAAAGTTGGCCGAAAATCATCTTTTTCTGCTCGTTTTTCCTGCAACCAGCCCCTTGTTTTTTTTTCTCTCCGTCGTGGCCTCCGGCGTTTTTTTTTTTTTCTTTTCTCTCCGTCATGGCCTCCGGCCACCACCATTGACCTCACCGCTGTCATTCCCACGAAACACCACACCATCATCCCCTCCTCCAGAAGCTATAAAACCACCTCACCGAAGCTTGCAACACCTCTCTCTCTCTCCACTACAAGTTTTTTTTTCTTTTCTTCCTCCTACCGGCCTCCACCATTGCAGCAACCAGCTCACGCCGCCGGCCTCACCGCCTCTAGTCACGCCGCGCGCCACCAGCCAAGCCGCTGACTCTCTCCACGCCAGGTAATTCTCTCCTCCCTGCACCATTTCCTCGCATTTCACTGTTCAAGTGAAACATAATTCACGTGAACAGTGAAATGTTATTTCACTGTTCACGTGAATTATAATTCACGTGAACAGTGTAATGCTATTGTTACTATTCACGTGCGTGAATAGTAAAATTTGCAAAAAAAATACATAATTCAAAAAAAAAAAATTAAAAATCATTTCAAAAAAATTTGTGATTTTCTTAAATATTTTTCTACCAAGTTTTCTTAATATTGGGTTGTATATTTATATTGTAAGATACAAGTCCAGTATTAAAATGCCCGATTTTCTCCGAAATATTAAAAAAAAAAACAAAAAAATTCAAAAAAGAAAAAGAAAAAAAGATTTTGTTGCATACGGCCAAATCCTAAAGAATTTTTCAAGCATGTCTCAAAATATAAAAATTACATCTTTCTCACGATTTAAAAATCCAAAAAAAATGGGTTTCGTAACTAGTTTATGATTATCCATTAAGGTTTGGCCAAAATATCAAAAACCCTTTTTTTTTTTCCTTTTTAACCCTTTTTTTAAGATCTAGACTTTAATATTTGTGGGGTGTAAAATTACACGATAAAGTACACCCTCGAGTATTAAAGATACAAGGTGTAAATAAAGGCAATTTTAAAATTTAGAGTTTAGAATGGTTAGGATTTAACCCAAAGAGGTAGAGACTCCTTCACGAAAGAAGATCTGCCTTGAACCTTAGAAAAGACCAATGAATGGAAACTTGACCTAGAAGAACAATCAAACAAATAATGCAGCTTACCTAATGTAGGGTGCACTGGGGGTGATGCGTCTTCCCCTTGCACAACCAGTCCCTTACTCAGACTCTCGCAGACCATAGGTTCCTAGTAACCATAATACTGGGTGGCGACTCAAAAGAACCGAGCAAAACACAAATAATAACAAAAAAATTGCCAGCCGATGCCGCACGGATTTTACGGCGTGCGATAGAATGGCGACTCCACTAGGGACGCCTTATTTGGTCGGACTAAGCTTTGTTTGTTCAATTGTTTGATTACTTGTTTTTGTTCATTTAAACTTTACTGTTTCAACACATTTTATTTCCTGTTCATACATAAATACATGTATTTTTTTAATTTTGCAAGGACACCCAATTCTAGGATAGGTGGGGAGTAGCGATCTGCCTCATGACTTTCAGTCGAGGTTCAGATTCGTGAAACATCCAACTATGAGCTGAGTGTTTACTCGATAATGGTGGTCACATTGTGCCCCAACCATTCCTTGTAAACCCCTACACTGCCTTCATGTGAGGTGGTCACTAGGTAGTTCATAGACCCTTTTAAGACTAGGTAGAAAGTCTACCTATCATGTAATGACCTAGAACCTTCCTTTAGAGCATGATCTCCCTATATATTCATTTTGCATAGGTTTTTTCCCTTCATACGCCTTTGCATCCATACACATACATCCATCCATTGTAAATAACATACATACTTGCATCGGATCAAGATATAGGTCCCCAAAGAGCCTACAACACCCGATTCCAAGCAAGAAACATGGAAGATGAAGAGCGTGCTCACCGTGATGCCCATTTCCAAGAAGAGTTAGAGTCTCTAAAAGCAAGCGTAGCTCGCCTCACTAGCTTACTCGAGCAAACACTTAGAAATGCCTCTGGAGAAGGTCCTTCCAATCAGCCAACCCAGCCTTTAACAACAGCTCAAGCTGAAGAAACAATGAGTAGGCACGGTCAAGAACCTCCAACATTTGTGCACTCAATGCCATCAGCCCCAGCCCCTACAGTCCTAGATCCATTCGCCAATGAGTCCCATAAGACTAAGCCATCTAATGACATTGACAAAGATAAGATGGCAGCGTTGGAAGTTCGGATTAGAGCCATTGAAAGGGTAGACTTATATGATCCAGTACGGGCGGCAGAAATGTGTTTGGTCCCAAATGTGGTTGTCCCAAAGAAGTTTCATGTTCCTGAATTTATCACATACACTGGAACACAATGCCCTATGACTCATCTCAAATCCTACTGCAATAAAATGGCAGAAGTAGTACATGATGAAAAACTACTAATGCACTTTTTCCATGATAGCTTAAGTGGGGCAGCATTGAACTGGTATATGAAATTGGACAACACAAGGATTCGAAAATGGAAGGACCTCGTAAATGCTTTCATTAAGCAATACAAATACAACATGGATATTTCTCCTGATAGAACCAGTCTGTCTAACTTGGAGAAAGGAGATAAGGAAAGCATTAGGGAATATGCTCAAAGGTGGAGAGACCTAGCTGCTCAAGTACATCCTCCGCTTCTGGATAAAGAGATGGTCACTCTATTTGCCAACACACTCAAGGCCCCCTATTATGAGCATGTAATGGGTAGTTCGGCCAAACAATTTACTGATGCTGTGGTAGTAGCTGAGCGCATAGAACAAGGAGTAAAGAGTGGTAGAATCTCTACACCTAGGGATAAAAGGGGTTTTGAAGGGAAAGAAGTTGACTTATATCACACTCCATCCTTTTCATCCCAAATCGCCAACATCAATCTCATTTCATCTTTTCCTACCAGAAAACTTGAGCCTCAAACCAAACATCAAAGAGCCCATGAACAACTACCTACATTATCGCTGCCCTTAAATGAGATGTACCAAAAGCTACTGAGTGTCGGGTATATAGCTCCTGAACCCTTGACACCTCTAAAACAACCTTACCCTAATTGGTATAAGCCCGACCTCACTTGCGAATACCATGCTGGCGCCGCGGGACATGACATTCATACTTGTAGTGCCTTTAAGAAGAGGCTTGTGCATTTAATTAAAGCTGGATGGATAACCCTCGATGGAACTCTAAACGTGAAGCATGAGTAGGGTGTGGAGAAAGCAGTTTGAATTCTCGAGGACAAAGATAAAGTTCTGTCACAAGATAGGAGGATGGTGTCTGCCCCTAATAATTGCCTTCGTTTGATCATGTCTATAAAGTTTTTTTTTTTGTTGGCAAATTAGCTCATGATGCCACTAAACTTTCCTTGTCAAATGAGCCTTTCTTGTTAATAAGATCATGTGTTTTTCTATATTTATGACATGCTTTTATCATTTCATGTAAATAACACATTGAGCATAAAACCATTACGCCGAGATTTTTTGGGAATTCAAAGTTTAGTACAAAAGCAGAAATCATGTTGGTGTTTGTCCGAAACAAACAAGTTCTGAAAATTCAAGTGATTTCTTAGAGAGGTAACCATACACCTAGAAAACCTGAAAAAGAAAAAACATCATGAAGTGACTCTCAAGCTGAGTTTCATTTGAATGAATAATGAGAAATCACTTTGCATATTCACATGAAAACAAGGCTTCCCGATCCTAAAGGCATGCATTTGAGATGAAGAAAGGCCATCTTTGATAATCGTTTTCACAAGGCTAAAATATATCTTTTGTAGTCCCTTTTGAGCCTAATAGATTTTTCTTGAAAAATAACCTTGACTAGGATCACACCCTACACTAGGGGGCAAGTGCCAAAAAATCTTTAACGATTGAAAGTGCCCAAATAACTCTTGGGGGCATGAAAAAAACCTCGATGATTGAAAGTGCCCAAACAATACTGGGGGGCATAAAAGAAAATTCTCAATCATCGAAGACGCCCATACAAAGCTGGGGGGCATAAAAAAAAATCCAAAGGATAAAAAAATTTTGAGCATAAAAAAAAGCCAATACAATGATGCTCAAAATCAAATGAAGAAAAGAAAAAGAAAAAGAAAGAGCCCAAGCCCAACACTGGGGGGCACCGTGGACCATTCTGCAAATCAATTCTAAGGTCAAGAAATGTATGAACAAAAGGTTTGGGATATAAGCACTAGTGATTCTTAGTCTTAAAGTCTCTTAAACACATTTTGAGCTATAAATATCTTTTTTTTCATAACCAATAGCCCAAGCCTACATTACGTGCCTAATCAAGCCCTTTCTGATCAAAGGCAAGCAATTTGGATAGGTAGGCAGTGCTTTCTCATGCGAACCAAATCATTATTCATGCAAATAAAATGAATGTTTTAAACCACGGTTCTCAATAACCCTCAAATTGAAATTTAAACTTTTTGTGACCAACCAGATGTCACTTTGTGTTCTTCACATTTTCACCAAAAGCAAAACTAAAAGTTTTCATCACTTCCGAAAACCTCTCCATAGGAATCACTTGAATTTTTTCAGAATGAGTTTGCTTTGAATCGATGTCAAAATGATTTTTGTGTTTGGAATAGCTTTGAAATTCCAAAATTTCTGCATGAAAGCAACTCCTTTGTCAAAGACCAAACCTTCCACATAGCCTCATCCCTAAACCCAAATTAAATACTTAGGGGCATGATCAAGCTGGGGGGCAATCAAAAATGCCTGATAAGGCTGGCCCCATGATTCCCTTCTCTAAGAAGAATGTCAAGCAAAATGGGCAACCATTAAGATAAAGGGTGGAGGACAAAGAAGTATGATGATATTAAGTCCTTCCCAAAGGTCAAAATCAAGATTTGACTTGAGTAAGCAAGAGTGGGAGAGCCATCAAAGCCTACTTCCAACACTCCAACTTTTGAGGAAAGAAAGACACCATCACCACGAAGAAATGGGGACCTATATTTCTCAGGTAAGCATACATGCATATTGATCATAATGCATTGCTTTCAACATTGTCAGATCGGTTTTACCATCTCTTAGGTAGCATGTTTTCTAACTTTATCTCATTTTGAGTGTGCCTTTGTGCCCTCACTTCCTTTCATGTGCACTTTTGAGCCACCATCTCTTAGGTAGCGTGCTTTTTTTAAACCCTACCTCATTTTGAGTGTGCCTTTGTACCCTCACTTCCTTTTAAGTGCTCTTTTGAGCCACCATCTCCTAGGTAGCGTGCTTTTTTAAACCCTACCTCATTTTGAGTGAGCCTTTGTGCCCTCACTTCCTTTTAAGTGCTCTTTGGAGCCACCATCTCCTAGGTAGCGTGCTTTTTTAAACCCTACCTCATTTTGAGTGTGCCTTTGTGCCCTCATTTCCTTTCATGTGCTCTTTTGAGCCATCATCTCTCGGGTAGCAGGTTTTCTGACCCTACCTCATTTTGAGTGTGCCTTTGTGCCCTCATTTCCTTTCATGTGCTCTTTTGAGCCATCATCTCTCGGGTAGCAAGTTTTCTAACCCTACCTCATTTTGAGTGTGCCTTTGTGCCCTCATTTCCTTTCATGTGCTCTTTTGAGCCACCATTTCTCAGGTAGCGTGCTTTTTTTAAACCCTACCTCATTTTGAGTGTGCCTCGCCTTTAAAAAAGCACGCTACCTAGGAGACTGCCCTCACTTCCTTTTGAGTGCTCTTTTGAGCCATCATTTCTCGGGTAGCGGGTTTTCTGACCCTACCTCATTTTAAGTGTGCCTTTGTGTCCTCACTTCCTTTTAAGTGCTCTTTTGAGCCATCATTTCTCGGGTAGTGGGTTTTCTGACCCTGCCTCATTTTGAGTGTGCCTTTGTGCCCTCACTTCCTTTCATGTGCTCTTTTGAGCCACCATCTCTTAGGTAGCGTGCTTTTTTTAAACCCTACCTCCTTTTGTGTGTGCCTTTCTGCCCTCACTTTCTTTTAAGTGCTCTTTTGAGCCATCATTTCTCGGATAGCAGGTTTTCTGACCCTACCTCATTTTGAGTGTGCTTTTGTGCCCTCACTTCCTTTCATGTGCTCTTTTGAGCCACCATCTGCGGGTAGCGTGTTTTCTAAGTCTATTTCATTTTGAGTGTGCCTTTAGGCCCTACTTCCCTTTTTAGTGCGCCTTTGGGGCCTCACCTCTTGGGTAGTGTGTTTTCTAACCCTGCCTCATTTTGAGCGCGCCTTAGAGCCCTCACCTCTTAGGTAATGTGTTTTCCAACCCTGCCTTCTTTTTTAGTGCGCCTTTGAGCCCTTACCTTTTAGGTAGTGTGTTTTCTAACCCTGCCTCCTTTTTATCTCCCTTTTTAGTGCGCCTCTAAGCCCTCACCTTTTAGGTAATGTGTTTTCAAACCCTACCACCCTTTTTAGTGCGCCTTTGTGCCCTCACCTCTTAGGTAGTGTGTTTTCCAACCCTGCCTTCTTCTTTAGTGCGCCTTTGAGCCCTTACCTTTTAGGTAGTGTGTTTTCTAACCCTGCCTCCTTTGTATCTCCCTTTTTAGTGCTCATTTGAGCCATCACCTTTTAGGTAGTGTGTTTTCTAACCCTGCCTCCTTTGTATCTCCCTTTTTAGTGCTCATTTGAGCCATCACCTTTTAGGTAGTGTGTTTTCTAACCCTGCCTCCTTTGTATCTCCTTTTTTAGTGCGCCTTTGAGCCATCACCTTTTAGGCAGTGTGTTTTCTAACCCTGCCTCCTTTTTATCTCCCTTTTTAGTGCATCTTTGAGCCCTCACTTTTTATGTAGTGTGTTTTCAAAACCTGCCATCCTTTTTAGTGCGCCTTTGAGCCCACAC